ACTGGCTCATGACTAGGAGGCTTTGGGTGTCACCAAGGAGACGGGGACCATGTCCACTGAGTCCAGCTAGCTAACTCTAGATAGACATTTTGTCGCCATATAAAATAAGGCACAGTCCATAACATGATATTGGCTGTTACATATAATGCGGCATAAATATTCCCTCCTCCAGACCTGTCATTTCCTTGTACATAATTTGCAGATATATGATTATTCCACTATTTCTGACTTTTAAAGTATTGCTCAGAATAACCATTTGTATACAAATGCCTTTGCTCTTACTTTGGGCTTTTTCCCAGGCAATTATTAGACTCCCAGAAGTAGCATAATTAGATTGAAGCAGACTAACTTTGAATTATGTGGGGCTCTAAGTGCTGTTACGAAAGGGGTGCTGCCCGCCTTACAGCGGGTAGTTGTTTTTATGTAGGAAGGTGGGTGATTCTCGCACAGCTGGTTTACATGTAGCCACTAAGAGATTTTGGTTGATAGAGTAACAAGGAATGTCTCAGAGGTGAGGGTGGCTTTGGAGTTGTTCTTATTATCTATTAGCTTTGTCCCCAAACCATGTCAAACAAACATCTAAGATAGCCTTGCTCACACTATAAACACAGTTCAGGGTGAGCCCACAGCTAGCAAAAGCAAGCTCCTCCAATCCATCACTGCCTCACCATGCTGGCAGCCATGGTGGGGGTTCCTCTTACTAACATACGCGCGGCAGTCAGTAATTCTTCCTCCGCCTTTGCAATAGCTGTAAGTTAACAGCTTCAAAGCTTCTAGAACCCCTTTCAACTGTCATGGCAGATGATGACTTTTTTCTCATTTTAACAGGATTATATTTGAACTTAATGAGATATGACTCCACACGCTCACTAGGCAAAGGGTATCGTTACGAAAAAGGATCCTCTTTTCCAGAGTACTGTTTATATCTCCGAAATGGAGTTCTGTTTTCCCAGCTTGTTTTATTTTGAAAGTGGTGACCAGTTAGAAAAGATGGGGCTGCAACGCGTTCATGGTAGGCGTGAACAGGGGGGCCCTTCCCTTCCTCTCCAGGACCTTGGGCAGGATTGCACGCAAGCTCCCTGGCTCTCGCCCAGGGAGCATGAGTGTGGCTTTTCTGATGGGCACGCCTTGGGAAACCCACAGCATAGGTCTCTTCTCCTGAACAAAATCAAAGAGCCTGCAGAGACTTCACAGTAAGAAACTTCCAAAGAACGTTTCTAAGTTCAACTTAAGACCTGCAATGGCCCAGATGGTGCTGAGCCGGCTCACGCACAGGCATGCTGGATTACTCCTAGCAGTTCATACACACCACAAAGCCGAGCCTCCTGCCCAGAAGGTCTCCCCAGGACTGGGAGCTCCTCGGGGACCCAGGACTCTCAGAGCGCTGACCTGGAAAGTCCCGAGGCAATCATTCAAAAGGTGACCTTGAAAGGCACAAAACTCTTCATCTCAGGAAAGGCAGAGAGGCCATCAGAGGTAGGGGAATGTAAGTACTTCTTTTTCAGCCAAACTCAACTTTGACAGGGCTAGATTAAAAAGGAAAGTGTCGCCCACCTTTCAGATTGTTCTTGTTTCTGATCACTTACAGTTGCGCTAAACAAATCAAGACAGAAATAGGGAACTGCAAACTGATTCCACCCTTCTGTAAACAATGCTCTCCAGAGTCCAAACTCCCGGCAGGAAATACTAAGTGCATGAGCCCCTTTGTCCTGAGATCACTAGCAGGGCCTTGGTCTCCAGGGTTCCCTCTCCTCCATTCTCAGACAAGAGCGTGCCAGAAAATAGGCAGAGATCCAAAATGCCATGAGCTCGGCAAAGTCAGGGTCTCGTTCTCATCTCACAGAATTAGAGCATTTCTGGCTCAGATGAACACTTCTCAAATTTTACTGTGGCTATCAATCATCCCAGGGTGTTACTGAAATGCAGATTCTTATTCTAGGTAGGTCGGGGGTGGAGTCTGCTGGTTAATCGAAGTAACACTGGTTTATGACATTAATAGGTCTCAGGCATCCGGGTTTATGAATCAGCATCTGTATATACTACTTTCGTCCTGCCACCAAGTCCAGTTTCATCCATCACCATATAATTGACCCCCTTTGCTCCATTTGCCCACCTCCTTCCCTCTTTCCTTGTGGCAATCACTATTTTTGTGCTGTAGACTGAGTTTGGTTTGGTTTTGCTTTGTTCCATCATTTGGTTTACCTATCACATCCGAGTGACGTCACATGTATTTGTCTATCTCTGACTGATTCATTTCACTAAGCATAATACCCTCTAGGTCCATCCATATTGTTGCAAAAAGAATTTTGTAGAATAATATTCTCCACATTTTTCCATTGCATATCACTATTAGCTAAAACAATTGTGAATGAGCATTCAAAATATGAATGAGCACTCAAAATATGCATATTCACATATATTTTATATTAATACAGTAGAACTGCATGATTTTATTTCCATTTAAAATATCAATGAGTGGCCCTCCCTGGTGGCGCAGCGGGTTAAAGCGCAGCACTGAGAATCTGAAGCCACTTCCACATGAGTTCGATTCCCGCCTGCTGCCTGCCCCGGAGGAGACCACATGGCGAGCCAGACCTCTCCTGGCCCCCCCGCTGCTTCCCTCAGCAGTGTACTTCGTCGATCTGCCTGTTCTGCTCCCCACTCTGTCTCTGGTGAAGCCTCTCACCGCCCCTGAGCCTCTGGCCTGTACCCCAGTTCTGTATGAATAAATAAATAAATCTTTAAAAAAAAAAATATCAATGAGAGCTCTAATTTCCAACACAGCATCAATTCAATTCATACACAGCCCATTCTGAAGACTACTGGGCCTGATAAGACACCCGTTATTTTCACATTCACTGGAGGCTTACATTTCTCCAGGCATAAGAAAATCACTTTTTCCAGGGAGCCAATTTTATATTTACATTACAAATTATTAGGGAAATCTTCCTCCTACTGGTGCAAAGGTTTACCTTTGTACAAACTCACCAATCAAAAGGATCACAGTGGCTGGATGGATCAGAAACCAAAACCCAGCTTTTTCCTGTCTCCAGGAGACCCATCTGAGGCCCAACGATAAACATAAGCTCAAAATAAATAAAATCTTGGAAACCAAGCCTACCAGCAAAGGGTGCCCTATAAAGGGCAGGGATAGCCACACTTAGATCAGATAAAACAGACTTCTAGCTAAAAACATTTACAAGAGGCAAGGGTGGACATTAAATAATGATTAAGGGATCATAAGCCAAGAAGACAACTCTCAGCAATATATATGCACCAAACAAAGAAGCCTCAAAATATGTGAAACCACTATTAACAAACCTAAAAACAGACACTGACAGCAATGCAACAGTATTCAACACACCACTCATATGAATTGACATATCAGCAAGACAGAAAATCAACAAAGAAACAACAGCCTTAAAAGGGAAATCTGACCAGATGGGCTTAATAGGCATTCACAGAGCACTGGACACCAAAAAAGTTGAATACGCACTCAAGGGCACACGAGGATAGACCATGTAGGTCACAAAACAGTTGCTAGCTAAACTCCATAATAGAAGCAAAGCAAAGTGTTTCATCATTTTATTTAAGTCATCATTGTTAGCTAAACCACTCCTCTTAATTACTCAAAGTTAGCCTTTGAATAATAGCTTCACCTGGAGAACATGGACATATCTGGGAGTGTTTTATAGTCCTTTGGGGCAGGCAAGGGGAGGTTGAGGCAGTTCTTAACTCTAATCCAAGGCAGACAATATAATAGTGACCACCACTGAGGTCTAATGTGCATAAGAATAATAAATATATGAGACTATGGGCACCGAATGAGCGAGAAAGTACAGTCGCTTGGGGCTCTCTGGAAAACTTAATGGAGAGAGTGACGTTAGAGAAGACCTTGAAGAACTGGAGCTGTGGGCTGGAGTGAGGAGGATGTCTGATCAGATGGATCAGAACCCAGCACAGTCTAGGGTAGGTGAAAGGAACGCTTTCATCCCTGCTGTAAAGCAAAGCACAAAGTCCCCAAAGGATTAACTCAATCCAGCACAAGGCGGAATGGAGAAGGGAGACCGGTCCAGCAACTTGGGTCTTCGTACTGATTCCACAAGCTTCTTGGTTTATTCCACCTGTCTTTCACCTCTAGCTAGACTGTACCCTGGAGGCCAGCAGAGGTCACAGCTCATTCCTCATTAGCCTCCCTCTGCCTTCTGCCCACAAAAACATACACACCAATGTATGAGACTGCCTGATACCAACGCCTCCATGTCTCCAGCCTTCGATATTTCACATTAACTGGCTTTACAGACACATACTTTTAACAATCAATGTCACCCAAGAACACAGGTTTTTCTCAGCTCACAGACAGCTAAAAATATAACTAGCAAGTAATGGGACCCTGCATTTTCCCAGGACATAGGAATATATGGAGAATGGGGTTTCGGAATCTTTGAAAGTACCACAGTATTATCTTATATATTTTTACTCCTGTATTTAACTAAAACTGAAAATAAATTTCAGCATCATCTCAATAAATTTTACAGTTAAATTTGTAAATGGATCCCAATTTTTAGGCTATATGATAGTTTGGCGCCTTGATTCTGTAATTCCTTAGAACTGAGTGTAAATGCAGTTTTCTACAATGTCCTTTGTTATATATGTGAGATTAAACATTTCTGAACATTCTTAAAGAGAAACAAGTTTTCTATCTAAGACAAATTATACTTTGTTTCTAATAAAACTATTTTAATTATAAAAATGTTTTAAGGAGCCAATTTTCACTTGTTTAGTTATTGCTCAGATAAGATTACCTCCAGTGGGACAAACTCAAAGCATAATAAGAAACTAAATATTTAAATATTAATATGCTTCATGTATAATAGACAATATAATTCTACAGCTAGGAAACTTATTAATTAACTTTCGCCTATTATTCATTGCTTCCAAAACTGAATTTTCTACTTGAAGACAAAGGCAAATTGTAAAGTGTAAATTATTTTACTTACCGTTTCAAAACCTCGATGTGGGTGATCAGGAAACCCACCTGGCCTACCACCTTTAAATTCATCAAACAGTAAAAATGGATCCAGATTTTTTAACTGAAATAAAAATAAATTCACCAGATTAGACATGTCTTTTAAGTCATACCACTAGGGGCTACATTCAGAACCGATTAAGTGAAATTCACTGAAAACTGCATAACCAAACAAGTCACTTTTTGCAACGAAAATTTCCTACACAAAAGAACTTCTAACCCATGCATACAGATGCACCTTTGGAAGCACTGATGAAGTTCAAGAGTTGACATTTTATGGGAAGTGCCAAGACTAAGGCGACACCTCACAAACACGTAAGACCTAAATAACCAAGCACACAAGAGACAGTCTATATTCAAAACAGATTCATAACCTCACGGGAGAACAGACTAGAAAGCCAACTCGTGCACTGTGATTATAAATGTGCTGCAGGAACACCACTTAACACATGTGAGAGTGGGGTCAGATCATAGACGGTTCTACCAGGGAGGTGTCACTTGAGCTGCCTCTTAAAGTCTACCTAAGAGTTAATCAGATAGAAGGGGGCAGGTGGAAGAAAAAAAATTCCCAGCACAGAAACAATTTGGTGAACTTGAAGAACTGCAAGGGAACTACTCTACTGGGGGTAAAAGACCCACATGTTATTATGATGAACACAGAGACCGATCTTAGGGAGTTTGGGTTTTAATCAGTGGCTGATATAACGAGATGATGAAAGATGACTTGAACATACAAGTGAAAGATACTGTATTTTGCTTTATGCAAGTAGAAACATTCTTCTGAGAAGGAATCAACAGGTGTCACCAGACCACCAAAGGGGAGCACAAGACGAAGAATACAGAGAACTCCCTCCAGCACATGTATTCCTCACAGATGGGTAATTAAGGTGTTAGCTGCACACAACATACTGGAATGGGCGTGCCAACAGCGTCGTATGACACTACACCATCTGCATATCCCAGCATTGCCTGTGCACTGTCACTAGGACAGCCCTGGTTGTGAGTATCCTCTGGAAAACCACTTTTGATGGACCCAAGACATTTGTAGGTGAGTAGGAAGCTATTGGCAGAAGGGCATAAGCCTCAGAGCAGCTTTTTTTTTTTTTTTCAGAGCAGCTTTTAAAAAAAAAAAAAGATTGATTTTATTTATGCACACAGAACTGGGTACAGGCGAGAGGTGCAGGGGTGGTGAGAGGATTCACCAGAGACAGAGTGGGGAGCAGAACAGGTGGACTGATGAAGTACACTGCTGAAGGGAGCAGCGGGCAGGTCAGGAGAGGTCTGCCACGCCATGTAGGTTAGCTCGGGGCGGGGATCAAACTCATGCTGAAATGGCTTTAGCTTCTTAGTGCTGCACTTTAACCTGCTGCGTCACCAGGGAGGGCCAGCATCAGAGCAGTTTTTAAGAAGAGGGGCACATTAACCTCACTTTTGAAAAAGAATCCACTTTCCTAATATGTATCTTCTTTTGTTCAAAAATATGTTTGGAAGATGCTCTGCATCACTAATCATCAGGGAAAGGCAAATCAAAGCCACAGCGAGCGATCAGCTCACACCCATTGAAATGGCTATCGCCAGAAGGATAGGAGAGAACAAGGACTGGCAAGGAGGTGGAGAGGAGGGAATGCTCGTGCCAGTCAGAGGGAATGAGAACTGGTGCAGTCACTATGGAAAACAATATGACGCTGTCTTGAAAATTAAAAATAGAGCTACCATCTGACCCAGCAATTCAAAGAAAATGAAAACATTAACTAAAAAAGATACCTGCATCCCTGTGTTCACTGCAACATTATTGACAACAGTTAACATAGGGAAGCGCCATATGGAGCTCTCCATCAACAAAGAAATCGAGAAAATGGGCAACATTTCAACAATGGAATATTACTTTGCCATAAAAAAGGAAATCTCAGTTTGCAACAATAAGGATGAATGCACTTCAAGAGCATTATACTACGTGAAACAAATCAGAATGAGAAAGACAAATACCATTATAATTTCACTTTTATGTGGAATCAAAACAAATTCACAGATACAGAAACAGATTACTAGAGGTGGGGGGGTAAAAGAAGGGAGTCAAAAGGTATGAATTTCCAGCTATAAAATAAATACATCCTGGGGTTAGAATGTACAGCATGGGCACTATAATTAATAATACTGTATCGCATATTTGAAAGGAGATGGTAAAAAATCATGTAGTGACAGATGAAAATTAGTCTTATTGCCATTATTCTGCAATCTAGAGTTATCAAGTCATTCTGTGGTACAGCTGGTGCATGTTCTATGTCGACGATACCTGCATACATTCAGAATCCCACCTGGTGCTGGGGGCAGCATTCCCTGGTAGGACCACCGTTTGATACTTTTCTGCACATGTAAGATTTGTCTGCATGTGCCATGTCTTCTGTAATTTTCAAATAAAGCTGCTCCCTGATACTGAAAGGTGACCACCTAACCTACTGAGAGCTAGCCCCCACTCATCCCCCACCATCACCACCACAAGAGGCCAACAGACCTGGGCCTCCATCTTCTCTATGAACATAGACCCTTGGCTATGGCTGACTGGCCATGGTAGGGAACTGGTCCCCGTCTAGGACATCTCCTGGGAATTTGAAAACAGGACTCGGGGTTACTCCCTGGAGCTTTGGACTCTGGGCACGTAAAGTGGGAAGCTGAAGCTGACAGGGGGCAGAGATGCTTCCTGAAGCTCAGTTGTCCCTTTGACCCAGACCGTCTGCTCCACCTGACAGAAATCCCCTTGGGCTGGGCTGATTCATGGGTAGCCCCAACTGCTATGCCTGGAGTTGGCCTCTGTGGCCACAGGGTGGCACACAAATATCTCAGGTTCTTTCTTCCCAAGTGATTCCTTGGTGTCCCACCAGTTCCTTGCATAAAAAAAGCCTGAAACACCAGCCAGCCAGCATACCTCAGGTCTGCCGATGCTCCTGCGGACACGCGCTCCAACACCTTCCGCCTGCTCCCGGCTCAGCACTGAGAGGGTGACCTTCTTGGAAGACACCATGTTGAAGGCAGCAAAGAAGTTTCCTGAGGCTGTGCTGGAGAGGATGGAGGCCAAAGAAGGACAAGGAAGGAAGAGATGTCATGAAGGAGGGAATACTCAAGGACCACGAACTAACAAAGTCAAAGTAGACTTGCAAAAATACAGATTCGATTTATCAAATGCTCACTATGGACAAGCAGTGAGTGAGGTGACTGAAACAACCGTGATGGTGAACAAGCATCGCCCCACATCTCAGCAGGTCCAGCATCACCAGCTGTTGGGCACTCCAGAACCCCACCCCAGAGATGCCCCCTTGGAGCGGTGGTCCCAGAAAGACTGAGAGATGTGGGTGGCGACCAGGGAACACAGAGAAACACCCAGAAGTCTGTGACTCTTCCCAGAACACACTGAAGATGTTGGCATTAAGGGATCTTAGGGGTCATCAAAATCACCCCACCTATCTCTGAAGTTTAGAGCTTTCTCATGAAATCTAGAGGGCTCAGGAAACTTCTGGAAGAGATGCCCTTGGGAATTCATCCTGTGTTCAGGGCCCATCTATAGCCTGGGCACATTATTCAAAGTGCCTCTTCTATTCTGTAGTATAACCAACCCCTTTCCAGTCCAAATGCTTGCAGGCAGTACCTCCAATTCCTAACGCTCTTTGAAGTGAAACAGAATCCATTTCTTCAAAGGTTCCTACTCAAACCAAGAGATCCTTTAGCCAGAAACACAGACTCTGGAGTCAGGCAGCTTGGTTTGTCTCTGGCTTCACCCCTACCTAGCAGTTGTGTGACCTGAGGCCAAATGCTAAGCCTCTCTGTTCTGGGCTTTTTCCCATTTGTAAAACAGAGGTAATGAGATTCTACCTCAGAGAGAGCAGTCCTGGCCCTGGAGCATGCTAGCTGCTGTTACTCGGAGAGATCCACCGGCAGAGCTAGCTAGCAGTTAGTCTAGGCTCAACCTGAAGGGCACCACCAGGGGCAGGTATCAATACAGTTCCTGGGTGCTGAGCAGCAGCGCGCGTCAATGCGCTACATCCTCGAAGCAGTACAGAACTGCCATCACTGTGCAGACGCAACTGGAACGTAAGGGCCCTGCACGTGGACTATTTCTGGGTCCTTCCAGAAGCCTGCAACTCTATCCATGCAAACAAATGCTGAGGTACTTACCAGACTGCTTACACAAATCGAGCCACTTCCTACACTTGCCTGCGTGCAGAGTACTATTTAAGCATCCCTGTCCCCTCCCAGGAGTCGCACTCGGCCTGGAAGGCGGGATCCTTCCCGCTCTCCCCCGCCCCCTGGTCGGCGGGGTACTCACTAGGAGGCCGCGGGCAGGCAAGGGACCCGGCCGCAGCTGGTGTCTCGGCAGGGAGGGGGGTGCGCCCCGGGGCGCGGTGCGTGGGGCTGGCGCGAGGCCGCGCAGCGGGCGGGGCCAGCGAAAAGGGCGGGCAGCATTCCCTGGTAGGACCACCGTTTGATACTTTTCTGCACATGTAAGATTTGTCTGCATGTGCCATGTCTTCTGTAATTTTCAAATAAAGCTGCTCCCTGATACTGAAAGGTGACCACCTAACCTACTGAGAGCTAGCCCCCACTCATCCCCCACCATCACCACCACAAGAGGCCAACAGACCTGGGCCTCCATCTTCTCTATGAACATAGACCCTTGGCTATGGCTGACTGGCCATGGTAGGGAACTGGTCCCCGTCTAGGACATCTCCTGGGAATTTGAAAACAGGACTCGGGGTTACTCCCTGGAGCTTTGGACTCTGGGCACGTAAAGTGGGAAGCTGAAGCTGACAGGGGGCAGAGATGCTTCCTGAAGCTCAGTTGTCCCTTTGACCCAGACCGTCTGCTCCACCTGACAGAAATCCCCTTGGGCTGGGCTGATTCATGGGTAGCCCCAACTGCTATGCCTGGAGTTGGCCTCTGTGGCCACAGGGTGGCACACAAATATCTCAGGTTCTTTCTTCCCAAGTGATTCCTTGGTGTCCCACCAGTTCCTTGCATAAAAAAAGCCTGAAACACCAGCCAGCCAGCATACCTCAGGTCTGCCGATGCTCCTGCGGACACGCGCTCCAACACCTTCCGCCTGCTCCCGGCTCAGCACTGAGAGGGTGACCTTCTTGGAAGACACCATGTTGAAGGCAGCAAAGAAGTTTCCTGAGGCTGTGCTGGAGAGGATGGAGGCCAA